ACTCTTGAGAGTGAATATATTTTGTGTGACAGGCACTCACCTTTTCTAGTATTGTAAATATGCTATAAGACATTTTTCAAATATGTTCAATTTTAAATCAAATTTGTGCATTTTGCCTTTGATATGCTGCACTTCTGAATATATTTTGCCTTTCAAGTCAGATTTATTATGGTGATACTGAGGACTAACTTCTACCACTTCTTGTGCTGATTTTTTTTTCTAGATCAATCCCACTAGTTTTAATACAATTAAACAGACACCATCACACTCCTGTTGACCAAGGCAGGCAAAATATGGGCTCGAGATGGTGATGTCATTGCTGTGCTGGCTGGGTCCTGACCTCAGCAGAGCCTTCCTGGCAGTTCTAAATACAGATAATGCTTAAGGAGATCTCTATCTGCTTTCTTAAAAAGCAGATAACTTAAAATAGACTGCAGGAGCACTCATGGATATTTTTCTGTTAGGTCTAGGCAGCCCAAGTGACGTTGAAAGTGCATTTCTGAGAGGTTTGCCCCGAGTTGTTTATGGCATTCCCGGATATTCATCACGAAATTCTTCTGCAGCCCATTGTAAAACACAAAGACTCTAAACCCCTCCAGGCTTCACAAAGATTTGTGCAGAGATTATAAATGAGCAGCAGATTAGCACCAGATGAAAAAATCTGTTCTATTAGAGAGCTAATCTGTTTAGTGAATGGCCACATTTATTGGGCATCTTTGTGGCAAGGTCTGACAAGTCTCTCTCCCTGTATTTGGAATTTCAGTCAAAATCAACGTGTCACTTTGGATCGAGTCAGATGGCTGAGCCCCTCTCTGGCATTTCTGAGACTTCTGCCCCATGCAGGCAGCATGACTGTACCAGGCAGGGCTCTGCCAGGCTGCAGTGAGGCAACAGGCAGTGCTGAGAGCAAGCCGTGAGAAGGCTAAAGATGAGAACTTGAAAAATAAAAGAATTCAGAAAGTTAGAGAAGATGCAGCTGTTTCCAAAGCCAATGGCAGGATTAAGGAGGCGAGAGAAGCCTCCCCAAAAAACGGGAAGAGGAGCGATCACAAGAACACACAGGCTGCATACAGCACAGTGTGCTGTGCCAGGGTGGCACAGGGAGCACAGGCAATGGCCTTGGCACAGGACTAGGAGCTAGTTTTGCCTGAGTTTTAATCCTGGCTAAATCATTGAATCCTCTCTGTGATCTCTGACAAGTTAGAGAATGTAGATATAGAAAAGTCTTATTAGTCCACATAATCCAGTTCTCTACAATATAGGATTATCCTGTAATCTTTATTCACTAGTATTTCATGAGGTGGAGCTTCTGACACACTACCTGTAGTACAGTAGTGCAGTCTAGTATTTTTATAGCCAGGAAAGTCTTATGTCACATTGCTTTAAGATGAAAATATCTCCCTATTATTTCCCCTTTCTGCCCATATAAGGAACAGCAGCATTGGAAAATAGGACTTCTAAATCATAACTCACCTAAAAAATGTGATGAAGGTAAACAATTCCTCCTATAAACAGATCTGTTAAGAAATAAGCTGTGTTAGTGATGTCACTTGACCTGCCCTGCAGACAGCCATCCTAAGGGCAGGCTGCACTTGTCCCCTTCTCCTCACTCTTCCACCATTACCTCCTGCCAGGCCAACCGATCTTGACCAGGGCCTCTGACCCAGTTGTAAGATTAACAGCAGATACCTTGTATAAAATGAAATGCCTCTATCTGTCCACAGGAACATTAAAAGAGCTAGGGAAAAAAATGTTTAAAATAACAAAATCCTAAAACTATTGTCTTACCTAAAGTAGATTTTTTTTGTTTGTGTTAGGCCAGATACTTAAAGCTATTTGGCTGTTTGGAACAGGTTGTCCCTTCCAAGGGCTTCCACTTAAAGTGCATTTCCCCTTTCCTTTGAGTCTTTTTATCTGCATTTTGGTTTGAAACTTCCTGCATGAGAGCAGGGTTTCTAGCAGGGGTGTTCATCTCACCTCATCCATTTATTCTGGTATTGCTCTCTGGTCCACACCCTCCTAGGCGATGCCTCGGGTAAGCATCCTTTTGAGTCCTGGAAATTTGGTTGCATCTGTGGTCACTGTGTTGCATATCTGCAATCCAGAACTAACATAAGCTGATTTAAACTTGTTTGTAAATAATAGAAAGAGTTTGAAACAGCAGTTCTTGTGTCTGTGCTTTACTCTCCAAATGCTTAAGACTTTACCTATATGAATTACATGTACCCAGGAACATTCCCAGGCACTGAAATCCCTGACATGGAGTGGCCCATGCATGTGCTGACAGGCCAGGCAGGATACAGCAGATACATGCAATTACACAACTGAATCATACCAACTCTCTCTTAATACTGAGGACCTGAGAGATAAAACTAAATTGCTTTTTCTTTGGAACACATCAGAAATTATGTCAGTAAGTAAGAATAGTAAATTATTGCCATCACCTAAATACATAAGACTTTTACTAGAGTGCAAAATACCTCCTCTACACCAAAGCAAAATGAACACATGGGAGTCATCTCTACAGGATTTGGTTCAGCTCCAGATTGTAGACACATAAAACCAATGTCTACCTTCAGGTATTTTTGTGTCAGCTACAGTCTGTGTTCTCACTGTAGTTGAATGGTATGTACTCAGTACAGCCCAAGGACCTAGAATGCAATTCAGCTAACCAGACACAAGTATTTTCTTCAGGGACAGCTGGAGTGCTCTCCAGACTGCATTGGCATTGTTACCTACTCGGCTAAATCCTCGGCATGATGCCTGTGGGCTCTGCCTTGTATACATGTAGACAGGTGGTATGGTCTGCACAAGGTAGAAGTGTTCTAGAGATGCTTCTTTGATTGGCCAAGCATGGTGGTTGAGTTTCTGTGGCATATCTGATAACAGAGCTACTGCAGAAAAAAACCCAAACCTTTGATTAATGCAAGCAAAATATAATGAAGAGTGTTTTCTTGGACAAGCCCATCAAAAGAATGCAGTGATCTAGTTGTGTAGTTTCAGCATGTCATGTTCTTATTTTTGGGGGTTATTCAGAAATGTCCTCGGATAAGGAACAGCTGTTATTTTCTTCATGGACACTAGCCTTTTCTCTTGCTGAGCAATTTTTAAACAAATTATCTTACCTAGTGCATAAATAAAATAATATTATGTATAGAGCTCTAAAGTGATTACTGGCTCATGTTTTGTTGACAATTAATTCATTTTATTTAACTCTTTTGTACTCAATTTCTTAATTTGTCCTTTCATTTAATTCTTTATGGCATTAAGGAAAACATCTTACTATATTACACAGAAATAGGTTATGAGTTAACATACTTCATTACAGATGTATATATAGTATATATATATATTCTTCTACAACATCTAAGTGAACTTCTATGGTTTGGCTGTCCTATAAATCTCTAGCTAGGCAATCATGAATGAGTTAAACATTTTTGCAGATGTGAAGATCCTTTTTTTTCTATAAAATCACTGCAATAAAACCCAGAAGATGGTTATGACAGATCTGGGTCACTAAGACAATGTGATGTGCACTAGCAAGATGTTAGAAGCAACAATGTATGGAGTTCTTTAGAGACAGGGGTACAAAGGGTATCCTTGGTTGCCAGGTCTCAGCCCTTTCTGTCATGTCATATAATCTCTGGTAAACTGAACAAGTTCTGTCTTTATCCATTACTCACCCCTGAAGACTCTTCTCCTTCTGTTGTTACTAGAAACCTTTCATTAGTTTGTGGGGTTTTTTAATGTTGGGGGTTTTTTTCTGAGGCTCCATTTTTTCACTTCAAATTTATTCTTTTTCACATAGGCATGGTTTGAGTCATGTGCAGCATTCAGGATGAGGCCTCAGCAGTGTTGTCCATAGTGTATTAAGGCTTTTTTAACTCACTTGAGACTGCCTGATAACGTTTGTCACAGCCTTGTCGCTTTAATAGCACGTGGTGATCAAGATACCCAGTTCTTTCTCCTCTATCGTTTCCAACTGACAAGTCTCATAGCTGAGATTATTGTTTATTCTCAAGGGTATGATCTTGCACTTGGTCCCATTAGTTCCTGTCCCTTATGGGACAGAGATCAGGTGTTTTGTATTATGTGAGAAGTTCCAGTGAGAAGCATTTAAATTAAACTTTTTCGAAAACGAACTTCTAAAAGCCTCGCTGGAGTGGGATGATGAAAAACCTTATGATTGCTTGAACACAGTTCAGTTACACACACATAAGTGTCTCATCCCATAGGAAAGCCACCTGGCCTCCAGCTACTTCTTGAGAAGGGTGTTGACTCCCCATTTGTCACAGCTGATGTCACTATTCAAATGTCTGAGTATCTGGCAGGTAGACAACTGAATCCTGCCCTAGGCCTGAGATTCAGGTCATAACCATCAGTTTAGGTCTTCAGTCTAGGTGTCTACAAGCAAATTAAGTGTCTGTGCATAATGTCACTGTGAGCTAGTTAACAGAGCACGTTCTAGGGTGCTCAGCTAACCAGATGTGAAAGAGAAAATATGAAAGAGTTGAAAGAAGTAGTAAATTCCCATTGAGAAGGCAGAGAAATGAGATTGCTTGCTGAAGGCTTTTTTGATGTTTCAGAGGGGAAAAAAAACCACAGTAGGGAAGAAATGAGATATTACAATTATAGTAACATACATATTCCATTTCTTCAGTTTAGTTCTTCAGCTGTCCACTAAGACAGTAATGCTGGAAGGCAGAATATGAATGAATCTGAACAAGTCAATAGGAAGTGAGAGCTAGTGCAATTCAGCCCACAAGGCAGGACTTCTCTACCATTTATTCTTGTTGTCTTCAAGGCCCCTTATGTAAATATTTGGTATTTTGGCAGGGTGTTTTCTCTTTGTTACTGAACTAAAACATTTGCTGCAAGCATACTGACTGAGGTCTGCTTCATAATTATTTGCAGTAACAACTCAGCAATGGAGACTTACGGTTGTAAAACTGCCAGTTCTGTATTAATATGATCTTCTTTTCTCCCTCTCCTGGCTGCAGCAAGCACGCAGTTGGTGTAGGAAGTCTGCAACGCAGAACAGGCAACCCTATCCATCTGTGTCAACAGATTCCCATTTCACCACTCTGCCAGCCTTTCTTCCTCAGAGCCACCGATCTGTCTCTGAACAACCACAAGAAATGAGTCAAAACAAGGTACATCATGCAAACAGCCTTGGTCATTATCTTGGATTTTCCCAGCAGGACTTGAGACACAATGATCGAGGAGACTTCACGTGCAGATCCAGCAGTGCCTCTAGCATTTCATGGTCATTTCAACGAAGCAAGTCTCTGTTCTGCTTGCCCACAGTGAACTCCTCTTCAGCATCAGAAACATTTCATTTCAGTGAACCATTTCAATTTTTAAATACCGAGTCACCTGCAACCAGGTTAAAAACATGGAGATGCAGCCCCAAGCTTAACACAGATGCCTTGGAGGGTGCCCAGGAGACTGATGTGGACACAGGGATGAGGCTGTCCTTCTCAGACCTGTCTGTGGTCTCTGCATACTCTGCCCTCAATGGATTCTGCAGTGAATTGGAAGACTCTCTTCCCCCACAGAAACAAACTGTCAGTAAGGCTAAACAGGTGGCCACCAGTGAAAGGCCTGTACCAGCCATGTGCAATACCTTTGAGTCAGTTCATGGTTCACTGCCTTCTCTTTCCAAATGGTCTTCCAGCCCTTTCACATCAGCATCTCCCTCCAAGCAGCGCACACAGTCCTTGAGAGCAGCTCCATTTTCTCTGGATGATCATGGTAGTGTTTGTCCAGCTTCACCAGTTAACGAGGAAGAATTTTACATCTAAGGTTCTATCTTACACCTTCCAGGGCAAAAGTGTTCTACTGTGAATGACAGCAGTGGGCCCACCCTTCCTCTTACAGAAGGTTCCTCACTGAGGAGAGGGTAATGCAGCACAGCGTGTTAAATATTTGAAGGAAATACTCAGAAACCTCTGAAATGGTATTCCCAAACTATGTACAGTAAAGCAGTCTGAGCTTGCACCCTGTACCTTTGTGGTGGTGAAGGAAATGCCTGAAGAAGCACATAGTGTTCCATTTTAATTTGGCAGAAAATGAAAACTAATTTGTGACACCAAACAGGTTTTTTTCTGAAGACATTCCCTTAACTCAGGAAAGATGGAACAAGAAAGGGGTCTTATTTCCCTTTCACAAGTTCTAAAGGCAGCTCTAAGCATAGCAGGTCCCTGCAGCATAGCCTAGTAGAGTCAGGCAAGAAGCTTCCTGTGAGGAAACATGTTGTTCCTTCTAACCTCTGAGAGCTGGCAGTGGTGAGGTGGGAGAAAATCATAGAATCATCAAAGTTGGAAGAGACCTTCAAGATCATCTAGTCCAAGTGTCAACCTAGCACTACCATAATCACCCTTGAACCATATCCTCAAGTGCCACGTCCAGATGCCTCTTGAACACTTCCAGCGACTGACTCCACCACCCCCCTGAACAACTTATTACATGTGTTATTATTTCAGTGAATAATTTTTTTCTGATATCTAATCTGAACCTCCCCTGGTGCAACTTGTCCTTTCACTTGAGACATAGCAGAAGAGGCCAACCCCCACTTCACTGCAACCTTATTTCAGGTAGCTGTTGAGAGCAATGAGGTCCTTCCTGAGCCTCCTTTTCTCCAGGCTAAACACCCCCAGCTCCCTCAGCTGTTCCTCCTAAGACGTGTGCTCCAGACCCTTCACCAGCCACACTGCACTTGTCTGGACATGCTGCAGCACCTCAACATCTCTCTTGTAGTGAGAGAACCAAAACTAAACACAGTACTCGAGGTGTGGCCTCACCAGAGCCAAATAAAGAGGGACAATCACTTCCCTGGTCCTTCTGGCCACACTATTTCTGATGCAGGCCAAGATGCCGTTGGCCTTCTTGGCCACCTGGGCACACTGCTTGCTTTTGTCCTAGCACATGCAGCAGCCTGTCAGCCAGCAACCCTC